ACTTTCGAGATAGATAATATACTGTTGTTTGTTATCGTCACTACATTAAACTAGGAATGCATGATTTTATACAGTGCACGTACAAGAATGTGTTTGGAAAATCTATATATTTCTATAAAACTTTAAACTTAACAATACAAAAACAAATACAATAACAAAGCCAGATTGGTAAAAATCTGTTTCATCGAAATTAGATAAATATTTATATTAGCTTCAGTTCCTACAGGTTAGTATCAAGTAGGGCCTAAAATTTCTGCCATTTGATTATGTCATTCCTGTCATTCTTTGAATATAAAATATTTTCATGATGTTCAAAAGTTGTGTTTCTTTTGCTCGCTACTGAGATCAATTTTATTCTTAGGATCCTTGTTTATTAGACACGGTGAATCATTTAAGTGTTCATATGTATTAATTTGAAATCAATATGCATTTAATTTTAATAATACATTTTATTACGACTAATACTTTGCATACTAAAGAAAACTGCGTAATATAAGAATAAAGGAATACATTTCGACAAACTCTTTTTACTTTGAATGGGTGAAATTTTAAACAGGAAGGCATGATATCTATGGTATTTCTGCTCAACATTCGTTTGGATTTATCACTCTCTTTTTCTTTATAACTGTGTATCTTCAATAACTTACCGATCATGGCTATCTATAAATTCCTGTCCGTGTAGCTCTTAATGAATATAGTCTTTTTTCCATCTCTCTTAAAACCTGTGGCAGTATTGTCGCAATCAAATTTGCCAGGCATGATAAAAGTCTCTTTCCACACACTCTTTTACTTTTATTGTATGAGATTACGATAATACTATTCTTGATATAAACAAATATAGATCGTTATATCATGCCATCGACATGGAAAAACACCAAATTATTAAAGTATACAAACAAAATCTTAACATAATCCAGCTGATTTAGAAACCGAAAATATTTTCTTTACTGAAATGCATTGATGAAAATGTCATACCATGATGCACACACAAAATACTTCACATCGTATTTTTCCAACATATGCATGCCATGTCCTAAAAGCAGCTGCCAAATGTTGGGAAACCTAACCCTTCAAAGCTAGAACTGCTGTAATGCAACTTTACAGTACGCAGATTGAAACAAAGCCGGAAAGGCTAAACTACAATAAACTATTAAACGAATGAACAACAACTAAAACAAAGGAAAGAAAAACAATTCTACAACCTATGTAGCAACAGCGAGTTGAAATATGTTTGAAAACTTAATTTAATAAAAAATCAATCGAATATAAAGCTTTCCAATACAGAAAGATTTTAGATTTCGAAATTTTAAACTTTCCCACCGGAATTCGTAATGGAGATAGTAGGCACTATAGTGAAAACATCATAAACGAAACGACTTCGATTTAAAAAACAAAACAAAAAAGTTTCATTCAAGGCATTATTACTGCTAGTATACAAGTTAACAACGAAAATACATTACCACTCGACACTAAAGAACCTATCAAAAAATAAAGAAATCCACATAAATCCCCCGACAAGGGGGCGGGGGATATGATCATGAACAAGAATACATACATAGAAATAAGGAATTCAATACTTAATGATGCCAACACACAGGGAAAACTAAACGCAAAAAGTAAATAACGAAACAGAAAAATCAACAAAGAATCATGAAATGAATTAAAACTGAAAACAAATTGTGATATAGACTCATAGAATATAACACCAGAATATCATAACATTGCGGTCTCACTAAAATCCACAAAACTTGTATCCAAATGCGTCACATTATCTCAGGAAAAGCCAACGCCCCTACCCCCAGTAAACTTGGGAAATCCATAAAATGTTTCTAACCCTCTTCATTGGAAAAATTAATTCGTCTCATTCATTCGTTGAGTTCTTCATAAAGAACTCAAACAGCCTAGTTAAAAGAAAAAGAAACATGTCCGACAATCGCAAGTACATATTATGTTCTTCAACATTAACCTAGAAGCAGGAAAATATCTAAATTTCCTAAGAAAGCATGTAAGAGAGTCAATGATAAAGCTGCCTCAAACAACATGTAAAATAATAAAAGAATCTGCCGTCTCATCATCAATCAATGCTACTACACCTTCAATAATGATTATTACAAACAAAACTGTGGATAACTAATGGGATTGCCTGTCAGTGGAGTGATGACATGGATCTTAAAATATTACGAATCCTGTACTTTTCGAAATATTTTAGCCAAACAAACAACATACTTTCGTTATATTGATGATGCAGTACTCGTGATACTCATTTATCTTATATATTAGAACAAGTAAACAAAATATAATACAAGATACACAAGAAATTACATACGAAATGGAAGAACATATTCCCTTCGCAATCCTTTGTAACAAAATATCCACGTTAACAACAATTTTAAACTCGGCGTTCACAGGAAATCAACCACCGAAAACGATATAATAATTTTCTATTACCATCACAACTACAAAATAAAACCCGGGCATAATCATCGAATTAGAGGAGAAATGCATTAAAAACACCTTCAACTTCTCCAGTACATTAAGTATTTTATATTCAGTGCAAAACAACAGCACAATAAAATATTCCTAAACAAAAAAGGTCCCTACTGAGAATAGCAAAATTAAAAAAAATTCTCATTCAGTCACATCTGCAATCAAAATAAATGTATCTAAACTGACAAAATATGTGTTACAACTACATCCAAAACGATAAAAGACATAGTCAATGCAATGTAAAACAATTAGGGGGATTCTAGCCCATCGTTTGTAATAATCGTCCAAAAAATAGATATGATAAACGTCAAGGAATCTCTCTCTCTCTCTAAATATATATATATATATATATATATATATATATATATATATATATATATATATATATATATATATATATATATATGTCAGTTTATACATATATAAATTTATATATTTATACATATATAAATTTATATATTTATATATGTATATATGTAAGAGGGGATGAAGTAAAATTCTGCTGTCCGTAGCATGTACTTAAAAAAAAAAGTTCAATACAAAGTAGAGCAATATATTAGTATAATTTTATTTTAGATATTCGAAAAAAAAACATATTGAAATCGCTACACAATCGCCTTTGTGATTCGGCAATAACTTATACCTCTTCAAGTGAGTGATGATTAAAATAGGTTTTTAAAAATGTCTAAAGCAAAATTTTACCTCTTTTCCCGAAGATAAAGGTGTTTTAAGAAGACACATAGTCAGAAATAAAAATAGGCTTGTGGTTTTGTCTTGATCTATCAATTAAATCTCAGATCTACGTTAAATACACAATTGGGCTCAAATTGTGAAATGTGGGGGAGATATTTTTTCATGACATAATAAGCCGGAACGTAGGCAGGTCATCATTAACAAAACATATATTCTGATTGTAGACAAATATAACATGTTCAAGTTTTCAAAGAACGCTGAGGGGAAGAGAAATGGGAAAATCAGACGTAAAATTAATTTCAACAGATATTTTTAAAAAATCACATTCAGGAATATTCTGAAAGAAACCTGTGGTTAAAATTAAAAATGTTAAACATCTATATAAGATATAAATAATTTGGCAACAATAAATAGCAATGCTAAATCTGAACAAACAAAATAAGATAATTACATGTAGAAGCTGGACCATTATTTAATTATAAATTATTACAATGAGAAATGAAATTACCTATTTACTTTTTAAAATAACTATATTGTAAAGTAAAAGATAATATGTGTCTGCAATTAAGAGTTAATTCAATTCTTTAGTTTGGCCGAAAATTTATGTTGGGAAATCGGATTTCTAATTTTTCATGTAAACATAAAAAAACAAGCTTCATGTAATGATTCACTAGTTGCAGCTTTCTTTAGTATTTTTCATTTACATCGTAGGGGGTTTATTAATTTCTTTTAACTTCCAGAAATATTGAAAAAGGGGCGTTGTATTTCTGTAGGCATTATTGGTGAAATATAATATATGATGGCACCATCTAGATTAAATAAACATTTGGTAATCCCAATATCAATTTATTTGTAGGCTTCGGATTTTCAATATTAAAAATACTGCTTAGGTAGAAAGAGAGTCAGTTTGACATCGGGTTTGCAGTGGCATTCATTAGAATTTCTACAATTACACCTATTGGTATTATCAGTGTTTGTTGCGCTGGAATGGCAATTATTATTCACATTTCGTATTGGATCAAAAACACATTATTAAATTATTCAATATTTTTATAGATTTTAAGTACAGCTATAGTTTATTTTTAGTGTATTTCCATTAAAGATTTTAGAGAGCGGATTGTTTCTGGGTTTATCTTTTATTTAGCGTAGATATGACATTTAATTGGCTGATCACGTCAAATCCACAAGTCGATCTCAAAGAATTTAGAAAATTGAGAACAAATGAATATAAAATAGAGATTCTACCTTCTAGTTACTAACGACATTTTGATTTTTATTCATAGCTACATTGTTTCAAATAATCCATCTCGTTTTTCCTTGTTACTTGGATATGTTTCGTTTTCATCACAAGGGGTCACAGAGAGGCACATACATCTCACTGAATTTAGTTTACATAGATCAAAAATAAATTTAAATATGAACAAGGGAATGACAAATTATAGAAGGAGAAAGAAGATGGAGGTCACATACAGAAGGAGAAACAAGATGAAGGTCGCATAAAGAAGAAGAAAGAAAATGGAGGTCACATAAAGAAGGAGAAACAAGATGGAAACCCCGTAGACAATGAGAAAAAAGAGGCAAATCCCGTAGAGAAGTAGAAAGAAGATGGAGGTCATAGAGAAGGAGAAAAAAGATGGAAGTCACATAGAAAAAAAGAAAGAAGATGGAAGATATATAGAAAAGTTAAAAGAAGATGGAAGTCAAACAGAGAAGGAGAAAGAAGACGAAAGTCACGTAGAGAAGGTGAAAGAAGACGGAGGTCACATAAAGAAAGAGAAAGAAGATGGATGTCACATACACAGGGTGAAAGAAGATGGAGGTCAGATAGAAAAGGAGAAAAAGTTGGAGGTCACATAGAGAAGGAGAAAGAATGTGGAGGCCAAAACGAAAGACATATAGAGAAGGAGAAAGAAAATGGAAGTCAAGTATAGAGGAGAAAGAAGATGGAATTCACATAGAGAAGGAGAAAGAAGATGGAGGTCACATAGAGAAGCTGAAAGAAGATGAAGGTCATATAGAGAAGGAGAAAGAAATTAGAAATCAGATAGAGCAGGAGAGAAAAGATGGAAGTCACGTAGAGAAGGAGAAAGAAGATGGAGGTCATATAAGGAAGGAGAAGGAAGATGGATGTCACATAGAGAAAGAGAAAGAAGATGGAGGTCACATAGAGAAAGAGAAGGAAGATGGATGTCACATAGAGAAGTAGAAAGAAGATGGAAGTCACATGGAGAAGGAACAAAAAGATGGAAGTAACAGAGGAAAGGAAAAAGAATATGGAGGTCACATAAAGAAAGAGAAAGTAGATACAGGTCACATAGAGAAGGAGAAAGAAGATGGAGGTCACATAGAGAAGGAGAAAGAAGATGGAGTTCACATAAATAAGGAGAAAATAGATGGAGGTCACATAGTGAAGGAGAAAGAAGATGGAGGTCACATAGAGAAGGAGAAAGAAGATGGAGGTCACATAGAGAAGGAGAAAGAAGAAGGAAATAACATAAAGAAGGAGAAAGAAGATGGAGTTCACATAAATAAGGAGAAAATAGATGGAGGTCACATAGTGAAGGAGAAAGAAGATGGAGGTCACATAGAGAAGGAGAAAGAATTTGGAGGTCACATAGAGAAGGAGAAAGAAGATGGTGGTCACATAAAGAAAGAGAAAGAAGATGGAGGCCACATAGAGAAGGAGAAAGCAGATGGAAGTCACGTGGAGAAACAGAAAGAAGATGGAGGTCACATAGAGAAGGAGAAAGAAGATGGAAGTCACGTAGAGAAGGAGAAAGAAGATGGAGGTCACATAAAGATGGAGAAAGAAGATGGAGGTCGCATAGAAAAGGAAAAAGAAGATGGAATTCATATAGAGAAGGACAAAGGAGATGGTAGTCACGCAGAGAAGCAGAAAAAATGGATGTCACATAGAGAAGGTAAAAGAAGATGGAGGTCACATAGAGAAGGAGAAAGAAGATGGAAGTCACATAAAGAAGCAGAAAGAAGATGGTGGTCACATTGAGAAAGAGAAAGAAGATGGTAGTCACATAGAAAAGGAGAAAGAAGATGGAGTTCACATAGAGAAGGAGAAAGATGATGGAAGTCACATAGAGAAGGAGAAAGAAGATTGAAGTCATATAAAGAAAGACAAAGTAGATGGAACTCACATACAGAACAAAAAGAAGATGGAAGTCATGAAGAGAAGGAAAAAGAAGATGGAGGTCACGTAGAGAAGGAGAAAGAAGATGGAAGTCACATAGAGAAGGAGAAAGAAGATGGAAATCACATAGAGAAGAAAAAGGAAGACGGAAATCACATAGAGAAGATTGAAGATGGAGGTCACATAGGTAAGGAGAAAGAAGATGGAGGTCACAAAAGAACAGAAAGATGATGGATGTCACAAAGAACAGGAGAAAGAAGTTGGGGGCCATACAGAGAAGGAGAAAAAAGATGGATGTCACATAGAGAAGGAGAACGAATATGGAGGCCACATAGAGAAGAAGAAAGAAGATGGATGTCACATAGAGAAGGAGAACGAAGAAGGACGTCACAGAGAATGAAAAAAAGATGGAGGTCACATAACGAAGGAGAAGGAAGATGGATGTCACATAGAGAAGGAGAAAGAAGATGGAGGTCGCATAGAGAAGAAAAAGAAGATGGAATACATATAGAGAAGGACAAAGGAGATAGAAGTCACGTAGAGAAGCAGAAAAAAATGGATGTCACATAGAGGAGAAAAAGAAGATGGAAGTCATGAAGAGAAGGAAAAAGAAGATGTAGGTCACATAGCGATGGAGAAAGCAGATGGAGGTCACGCAGAGAAGGAGAAAGAAGATGGAAGTCACATAGAGAAGGAGAAAGAAGATGGAAATCGCATAGAGAAGAAAAAGGAAGACGGAAATCTCATAAAGAGGGAGAAAGAAGATGGAGGTCACATAAAGAAGGAGAAAGATGATGGAGGTCACAAAAACGAACAGAAAGATGATGGATGTCACAAAGAACAGGAGAAAGAAGTTGGAGGACATATAGGGAAGGAGAAAAAAGATAGATGTCACATAGAAAAGGAGAACGAATATGGAGGCCACATAGAGAAGGAGAAAGATGATGGAAGTCACATAGAGAATGAGAAAGAAGATGGAGGTCACATAACGAAGGAAAAAGAAGATGGATGTCACATAGAGAAGGAGAAAGAAGATAGAGGTCACAAAGTGAAGGCGAATAAGATGGAAATCACATAGAAAAGCAGAAAGAAATGGAGGTTACATTGAGAAGATGGAAGAAGATGGTAGTCTCATAGAAAAGTCATATAGAGAAGGAGAAAACTTGGAATTCACGTAGAGAAGGAGAAATAAGTTGGAGGTCACATAAAGAAGGAGAAAGAATATTGAGGTCACTTAGTGAAGTAGAAAGAAGATGGAGGTCACATAGAGAAGGAGAAAGAAAAAGGAAATAACATAAAGAAGCAGGAAGAAATTGGAGGTCACATAAAGAAAGAGAAAGAAGATGGAAATCATATAGAGAAGGAGAAAGAAGATGTTGGTCATATAAAGAAAGAGAAAAAAGATGGAGGTCTCATAGAGAAGAAGATGTAAGTCACAAAGTGAAGGAGAAAGAAGATGGAGGTCACATAAAGAAGGAGAAAGAAGATCGAGGTCACATTAAGAAAGGCAAATAGATGGAGTTCACATAGAGAAGGAGAAAGTTGATGGAAGTCACATAAAGGAGGAGAAAGAAGACGGAAGTCACATGGAGAAGGAGAAAGAAGATGGAAGTCATATAAAGAAAGACAAAGTAGATGGAACTCACATACAGAACAAAAAGAAGATGGAAGTCATGAAGAGAAGGAAAAAGAAGATGGAGGTCACATAGTGATGAACAAAGCAGATGGAGGTCACTTAGAGAAGGAGAAAGAAGAATGAAGTCACATAGAGAAGGAGAAGAAGATGGAAATCACATAGAGAAGAAAAAGGACGACGGAAATCACATAGAGAAGATGGAAGATGGAGGTCACATAGGTAAGGAGAAAGAAGATGGAGGGCACAAAAGAACAGAAAGATGATGGATGTCACAAAGAACAGGAGAAAGAGGTTGGAGGTCATACAGAGAAGGAGAAAAAAGATGGATGTCACATAGAGAAGGAGAACGAATATGGAGGCCACATAGAGAAGAAGAAAGAAGATGGAGGTCACATAATGAAGGAGAAAGAATATTAAGGTCACATAGAGAAACAGAACGAAGAAGGACGTCACATAGAGAATGAGAAATAAGTTGGAGGTCACATAAAGAATGAGAAAGAATATTGAGGTCATTTAGTGAAGTAGAAAGAAGATGGAGGTCACAGAGAAGGAGAAAGAAAAAGGAAATAACATAAAGAAGCAGGAAGAATATGGAGGTCACATACAGAAAGAGAAAAAATATGGAAATGATATAGAGAAGGAGAAAGAAGATGGAGGTCACATAGAGAAGGAGAAAGAAGATGTTGGTCACATAAAGAAAGAGAAAGAAGATGGAGGTCTCATAGAGAAGGAAAAACAGTACTGAATCATATAGAGAAGGAGATAGCAGATGGAAGTCACGAAGAGAAAGAGAAAGAAGATGGAGATCACATAGAGAGGGAGAAAGAAGACGGAAATCACATAGAGAAGATATAGAAGATGGAAGTCCCGTAGAGAGGTCGAAAGAAGATGGATGTCACATAAAGATGGAAAAAGTAGATGGAGCTCGCATAGAGAAGGAAACGTATATGGAATTCATATAGAGAAAGAGAAAGGAGATGGAAGTCACGTACAGTAGGAGAAAGATGATGGAGGTCACATAGGAAAGGAGAAAGAAGATGGATGTCAAATAGAGAAGTAGAAAATTAATGGAAGTCCCATAGAGTAGCAGAAAAAATTTGGAGGTCAAATTGAGGAGAAGTAAGAAGACGGTAGTCACATAGAGAAGGAGAAAAAAGTTGGAAGACATAGAGAAATGTAGAAAGAGGATGGAGGTCACTTAATAAAGGGGAAATAGATGGAGGTCAAATAGAGAAAGAGAAAGAAGATATAATTACCATAGAGAAGAAGAAAGTAGGTGGTAGTCACGCAGAGAAAGAGAAAGAAGATGGAGGTCCATAGAGAAGAAGAAATAAGATGGATGTAACATAGAGAAGGAGAAAGAAGATGTAAGTCAAGCAGAGATGGAGAAAGAAGATGGAGGTCACATAGAAAAGTTGAAATAGATGGAGGTCACACAGAAAAGGAGAATGAATATGGAGGACTCATTCAGAAGTTGAAAGAAGAAGGAAGTCATATATAGAAGGAGAATGAAAATGGAAGTCTCGTAGAGAAAGTAAAAGAAGATGGAAGTCACATAGAGAAGGAAAAAGAAAATGGAAGTCACATAAAGAAGGAGGAAGTAGTTTCAAGTCACATAGAGAAGAAAAAAGAAAATGGAGGTCACATAGATAAGGAGAACGAATTTGGATGTCACATAGAGAAGGAGAAAGAAGTTGGAGATCACATAAAGTAGGAGAATGAAGATGGAGGTCACAGAGAAGAAGAAAGGAGATGGAAGTCACATAGAAATGATGATGGAAGTCACATAGAGATGATGAAAGAATATGGAGGTCACATAGATAAGAAGAACTAATGTCACGTAAAGAAGGAGAAAGAAGGTGAGAGTAAAATAAAGAAAGAAAAGAATTTGGAGATCACATAAAGAAGGAGAATGAAGATGGAGGTCACATAGTGAAGAAGAAATCAGATGGAGGCCACAGAAAGTAGGGGAAATAGATGAAGGTCACATAGAGTAGGAGAAAGTAGATGGAGGTCACATAGAGAAGGAAAAAGAAGACGAAAGTCTCATAATGAAGGAGAAAGAAGATGGAAGTCACGTAGTGAAAGAGAATGAAGATGGAGGCCACGTAGAGAGGAAAAAGTAGATAGAAGTCGCGTAGAGATGAGAAAGAAGATGGAGGACACATACAAATGGTGAAAGAAGATCGAGGTCGCATGGAGAAGGAAAAATAAAATGCAAATCATATAGAGAAAAAGAAAGGTGATGGAAGTAACCTAGAGAAGGTGAAAGAAGATGGTGGTCACATCGAGCAAGAGAAAGAAGATGGAAGTCACATAAATAAGGAGAAAGTAGATAGAAGTCACAGAGAGAAGGAAAAAGAAGATGGAAATCACGTAGAGAATTAGAAAGAAGATGGAGGTCAGATAGAGATGGTGAAAGAAGATGGATGTCACATAGAGAAGGAAAAGGAAGACGGAAATCACATAGCGAAGGAGAAAGAAGATGGAGGTCACATAAAGATGGAGAATGATTATGGAGGTCACAAAAAAGAACAGAAAGAAGATGGATGTCGCAAAGTACAGAAGAAAGAAGTTGGAGTTCACATAATTTAAGAGAAAAAAGATGGAAGTTATATAGAGAAGGAGAAAGAAGATGGAGGTCACAAAGAGAAGCGGAAATAGATGGATGTCACATAGAGAAGGAGAAAGAATATGGAGGCCACATAGAGAAGGAGAACGTAGATGGAAGTCACATAGAGAAGGAGAAAAAGATGGAGGTCACAAAGAGAAGGAGAAAGAAGATGGAATTCACATAGAGAAGAAGAAAGAAGATGGAGGTCACATTGAGAAAAAGAAAGAAGATGGAGGTCACATTGAGAAAAAGAAAGAAGATGGTAGACTCATAGAAAAGGAAAAATAGAATGGAGGTCAAATAAAGAAGGAGAAAGTTGATGGAGGTCACATAAAGAAGGTGAAAGAAGATGGGAGTCGCATAGAGAAGGTGAAAGAAGATGAAAGACCATAGAGAAGGAGAAAGAAGATGGAAGAAACATAGAAAAGGAGAAAGTAGCTGGATGTCACATAGAGAGTGGGAAAGAAGATGTAGATCACATAGAAAAGGAGAAAAAGATGGAGGTTACATAGAGAAGTTAAAGAAGACGGAAGTCATATAGAGAAGGAGAAAGAAGATGGAAGTCACGTATGAAGGAGAAAAAAGAAGGAAATCATATAAATAGGAAGAAGAATTTGGAAGTGACATAGAGAAGGAGAAAAAAGATGGAGGTCACATAGAAAAGGAGAAAGTAGATGAAAGTCACGTAGAGTAGCATAAAGAATTTGGAGGTCACATTGAGAAGAAGTAAGATGGTAGTCACATAGAGAAGGAGAAAAAAGTTGGAAGAGATAGAGAAAAGTAGAAAGAAGATGGAGGTCACTTAATAAAGGAGAAATAGATGGAGGTCAAATATTGAAGGAGAAAGAAGTCACATGAAGATAGAGAATGATTATGGAGTTCACAAAAAGGAACAGAAAGATTATGGATGTCACAAAGAACAGGAGAAAGTTAGAGGTCACATAGAGTAGGAGAAAAAAGATGGAAGTCACATAGCGAAGGAGAAAGAATATGGAGGTCATAAACAGAATTGGAAATAGATGGATGTCAAATAGCAAAGAAGAACGAATGTGGAGGCCACATAGAGAAGGAGAAATAAGATGGACGTCACATAGAGAAGGAGAACGAAAATGGAAGTCACATAGAGAAGGACAAAGAAGAATCAAGTCACATAAAGAACGATAAAGGAGATGGAGGTCACATAGAGAAGGAGAAAGAAGATGGAAGTAACATAGAAAAGGAGAAGGAAGATGGATGTCACATACAGAGGGAGAAAGAAGATGGAGGTCACAGAAGGAAAAAAGTTGGATATCAAATAGAGAAGGAGAAAGAAGATGGAGGTCACATAGAAAAGGAGAAAGATGATTGAGTTCGCATAGAGAAAGAGAAAGAAGTTGGAGGTCACATTGAGAAGGAGTAAGAAGATGGTAGTCACATAGAGAAAGAGAAAGAAGATGAATGTCCGTAGAGAATTAGAAATAAGATGGAAGTAAGATAGAGAAGGTGAAAGAAGATGCAGGTCACATAGAGAAGTAGCAATTAGTTTGAAGTCACATAGAGATGAAGAAAGAATATGGAAATCACATAGAGATGAAGAAAGAATATGGAGGTCACATAGATAAGAACTAATGTCACGAAAAGAAGGAGAAAGAAGAAAGGAGAATAAAGAAAGAAAGAATTTGGAGATCACATAAAGAAGGAGATAGAAGAAGGAAATAACATAAAGAAGGAGGAAGAATTTGGAGGTCACATAGAGATTGAGAAAGAAGATGGAAATCACATAGAGAAGGAGAAAGATAATGCAAGTCACATAGAGGAGGAGAAAGAAGATGGAGGTCACATAGAAAAGGAGAACGAATGAGGAGGACTCATTGAGAAGTTAAAAGAAGACGGAAGTCATATTGAGAAGAAGAAAGAAGATAGAGGAGGAGAAAGAAGATGGAATTAACATAAAGAAGGAAAAAGAAAATGGAAGTCACAGAGAAGAAGTTTGATTGAAGTCACATAGAGAAGAGAAAATAGTTGGAAGTCGCGTAGATAATGTGAAAGAAGATTGAGCTCACATATAAAAGGAGAAAGAAGATGGAAGTCACATAGAGAAGGAGAAAGAAGTTAGAATTGGCATAGAGAAGGAAAAAGAAGATTGAAGTCACGCGGAGAAGCAGAGAGAAGATGGAGATGACATAGAGAAGGTGAAAGAAGATGGAAGACACATAGAAAAGGAGAAAGAAGATGGAGGTCACATAGAGAAGAAGAAAAGAGATGGAAGTCACATAGAGAAGGAGAAAGAAGATGGAGGTTACATAAAAAAGGAGAAAGATGATGGAGGTCACATATAGGAGAAGAAAGAAGATGGGGATCAGATAGAGAAGTTGAAAGAAGATGGAGGCCTCATAGAGAAGGAGAAAAATATTGAAGTCACATAGAGAAGTAGTAAGAAGATGGAGGTCACATAAAGAATGGGAAATAGAGGTCACATAGATGAGGAGAAGAAAGCTGGGAGTCTCATAGAGAAGAAGATGGAAGCCACATAGAGATGGAGAAAGGAGGGAAGGAAAAAACGACGGAAGTCACGTAGAGATGGAGAATGAAGATGGAATCACGTAGAGAAAGAGAAAGAAGATGGAAGTCACGTAGAGAAGCAGAAAGAAGAAGGAGGTCACATAAAGAAGGAGAAAAAAGCTGGAAATCACATAGAGAAGCAGAAAGAAGATGGAAGTTACATAGAGAAGGAGAGAAAATATGGAAGTCATCTAGAGAAGGAAAAAGAATATGGAATTACATAGAGAAGGAGAAAGAAGATGGAAGTCAGACAGAGAATGAGTGAAAAGATGGAATTCACGTAGAGAAAGGGAAAGAAAATGGAGGTCTCATAGAGAAGGTGAAAGTAGATTGAAGTCAGACAGAGAAGGAGAAAGAAGATGGAGGTCAAGCTCATTAAATCATTTGGAAATGCATCATTTTTCCTATAAATTATGACAATGATTTAAAATTAGTCAACATTTTTCCCAAAAGAAATATGTGATACTCAGTATGGCGCCGGTAAATTGGCTAGTATATATATATATATATATATATATATATATATATATATATATATATATAATACGAATATCATTGTTTCGCTGTGCCACATATTTTCAATTAATGGAACAAAAATCTTTAACTTTCATTAGCTAATGTTAAAGAGGTACCAATCTTATATTATTAGTGTTTTTGGCAATATTATACGTGAATATTTTCGACAACTTTCTTTGTATGATAACTATTTTATGTTTTTTTGAATAATCGAATTAAATACGGCGAAAGTCTCCTATTGAATAAAGATAATTTTTTGTCTAGTATGTAAGGACCTATGCACATTAAATTTTCTTTAAATCAAGTTTCAGCACAAGAATTATAGTTGAGCTTTTAAAATGTAATAATAAATATTAATGCAATACTTAAATGCAGTGATAAATTTTAAGTTTTTTTGTAGTTCATTGTTGCCTATCTCATACGTCAGCAGTATGCGTCGCAGAAATCACCGCCAAAATTTGGCTAGATTGCAATTAAAAACCAAGGCTTTTGAGGAGAAAAAGAAAGTCCCGCGTAAATTCGAAACCAGATCTAATGACAGCCAGTAGATCTTTCAATGCTGACAATTTACAAGAATTTAGGGACTCTCAAACTCCTGATAAAGCTGAAGAACCATTGAATTGAAAATCTTAAATACCGTTTAAACTACAAGATTTTAAGACTGGAATGTTTAACAAGAAATATCGATTTCAGTATAAACTTGATATTTTAACGTTAAGTAATCTTTTCATATAATTAATTAACGCTCTATTTTTACACTATTTAAAAATTTCCATATTGAGAACTATGTATAACTACATCTTCTGTTTCTTAAATCTTAAAAACTATATATATATATATATATATATATATATATATATATATAATCAATGACAAAATTATTCGTACGCAAATCACTTAAATATTTTTAACCATTTCTCAGAATTTAATGCCTGTGTGAATCTAGATTTATTAAGTTAATAAGCACAAAAATGGATATAAAACTTAATTTTCAGATCAATTGTATAAATACAATAAATTTGACAGGTGATTTATTCATAATGAAGAAAAAAATAATTTGTGCAGTATGGAATATCGCAAAAAACTGAACAGTCAATAGCATGGACTCTCCTCTTTATAACTTGCTGCAATCGTTTTCTAATGTCTTTGATTATATTTGAACAAGTCTTTTCTAGGTTTTTCTTTCATTCTTCAATAATTACATGTTATAATTCTTAAAGTATTTTCTTGAACGACGATTTAATCGAACTTTTAATTTTTGCCAAAAATTTTCAAAAGGATTCAATTCAGGACTCATTGCCCAGTCCCACTTTTGGTAAAAAATTATGAAAGCATCATCGATCTGACTCCATGTTTTAATATTGCAACTGTGTTATTGCATGCGTCAGTATTTTTGTACATGATTATGCCTAATATGCTCATTTTTGTTTCATTACTCTATAGTACTTTTTCTTAAAAGCATTTTTCTTTATCTAACAATGTTTATGCAAAATCTTTCCGGGCAAAATTTTGACATGGTTTTTGAAT